TTACACGTCGGCCTGCTCTAACTCTCTGTCCTCTCTTCTCCACCCCAGGGCCTCAGTGTGTCCACCCAGCCAGCAGGGGGCAGCGCAGCCCTGCTCGACTGGCACTCGCTGGCTGTAACAGCAACTCCATGTGGAAGAGCTGTGGTTCCAGTGGAGCTGCTGTTACCTGCAGAGAGGAGCCCCTGTGCAGCAGACCGCAGGACCGGCCACCCTCCTCCTGGCCCCCGGAGGGGCACGGGGGGCCACGAGCCCGCAGGGCCAGGGGCGCAGGACGATGACCTATGAATTGACAGCCAGTGTTGTATGGCGCCTGCCTGTCAGTTCTATAGGCCACAGGCCTGCGGCCTCACTCCTGGACGCTCGGACAGCCCGACCACCCCCTTCGCTCCGAGAGATGCAGACAGATGTGGGGAACTGGGATTAGTGGGATAATAAAAGCCACAAGGCCTTTGGAATCTGTGTGTCCGTGTCTTTTTCTCTTTTCACTTTGTGTAAAGAAGTGGCTCCTCTTCTCAGTTTTAAAGGTACTTTCACTGGTGTCCTCAGGTGCACGTTTCACTGTTCCTGCAGTCCGTCAGTGTGGGACACTCCCTCCAGACTAAAGAGACTCAGTTCCTCCAGCCTGTCAGTGTGGGACACTCCCTCCAGACTAAAGAGACTCAGTTCCTCCAGCCTGTCAGTGTGGGACACTCCCTCCAGACTAAAGAGGCTCAGTTCCTCCAGCCTGTCAGTGTTCATTCCCTTCAGCCCCGGAATGGGTCTGATTCCTGTTCTCTGGACTGACTCAGAAATGTTTTTTTTTCTATAACATGTTGATCACAGTCGTACACAATATTCTAAGCAAGACGTTAGTAGTGTGCTATACAATTCTAAGACAAGATCTCAGTTAAATTCTGCACTTTTCACTCTGTCTCCTGAGCTTCTGAGTGCCTACACAGAAACTGCTCCCCAGGTGTCTTGAATAGGATAGAATCTTTATTGTTATATTTATTTCAATTCGCTGGACACCAGTCCATCACAGGACACACACAAACACACAC